AAGGTGGAATTGAAAAACCAAATAAACCCACCCCCCCCCCCCCCAAAACACCCAAAATCTGTGAGCTTCCCAAAGACCCATGCTGGCATAAGTACAGTAACTACTCACTTTGGTCCTGTTGATCCAAAGGACAGTTCTTGGAGGTAGGTTCTTGATTCTGTCAACAGGGTGAAGACCTGCCACAAACCATATAAAGACAGCACTGTCAGATTCAGATTCATCATTCAGTCCCTGAAACCATTCCTGTTAAACAGAACATTCAATATCCCTGCTTAGTCCATTTTGTCTGTCCCACACGCTGCTGGGAACAGCACTTTCTGGAGCTGAAGCTGTGGCGAGGTGGATTTGCCCTTCTCAGAAGTATTAATTCATCAATTAACTCTTAGAAGTATTAATTAATTTTGTGTCAACAGCTATGTGACTGATCTGGGATGTTGCCTGTGCAGAGCTGGATGGAGAACGATATCCTTGTGTTCTTTGCTTGCACACAAACCAAGTGCAAAATTAAGTACAGAAAACCACCCTGCGAAAGTGGTCGGTGAAGGGAAGGAGGGAGGCACTGGTAGGTTGCTGGTATTTTCTGTTCCAGTCAGGAGGATTGGCATTTGTGGATTCCCAGTCCCAATGAAAGGATAAAAAAACCAAATCAAAAGTATCACCAATGTCATTAAAAAAGCCTAAAATCCTAAAACCACAACTATTTGGTCCTGCAAGTATTAATTAAAAATACAGAAAAGTACTGAAAATTGAGTAAATAAGCACTTTATCTTTAAATAGGAAAGAGGGGAAAAAGTAAAACTATTAACTTATAGCACACTGAAAGTGTTTGCCTATAGCTCTGTATTGTGCTGTGACTTGGTCATGCCTCAGGCCAGTTTCATATCAGAACAGCTCAAACAACACCTTATAGGTGTTAAAATGGCCCTTTTCTTTATGGTATCCGCCCTTCCCAAATATCAAATATTTCCTTTTAAACTTGAGGCTTGATAATTGTGAGAATCAGCTCTGACTTACTTCGAACTATCTAGCAAGGAAGGCGTTTCTTGGCTCAGAAGTTCTGGCTTAACTTCACTGATGTTTTATATGGCCAGAGCAGTGTAAAAGACTTGAAAGAGATGTAGCTGATGGAGAATATGTGCCAACCTTTGATGTAAGAGAGAACACTATCAAGTCTTGCCTCCAGATATATGCCTGCCCCCTTGATGGCTCACACTTTTGAAACTACAGTAAACACATGCACCAAAAAATATCTGACATGCAAAACAGTGCACTGCCATATTTCTTGTTAGAATCTGTGGGAAATGTAGTGGACCAGTTAGAGTTGAGCAAATACAATGGTAACTATCCACCAATGACTTGGATCTTACTTCTCACTCTGAGAAGTAACTCCATGGGATATAATCAGTAAAAAAAGAACCATGTTTAATTAGGCTGCAAGCTGTGAAAAGTCCTGATCTTTCTTCAAACAGGCATCTTCTCTTTATTAGATACTCAGTCAATGTGTTTGTAACTAGTAGCATCTAGAGAAAACATGTTGTTAAAATTGGTCTGAAAATCAACCTGGATCAGTCAAGCTTAAGTTAGGGGGGAAGTGTCCCCTCCTGAAGCCTTAGAAACCTCTTAGAGTTTTAGAAACTATAGTTGTTCTAACTTCATTCAATGGTCACTTGCACTGACATGTACACAGGACCCGTGACGCTTTCAGGACTAATGGTCCTGCTAAGTGGTACTGACAGCAAATAACATTTAATATGTGCTGAAAGGAGGCACAAATGGAGAAAGATTACAGCTGATGTTTTAAGAAGAAATTAAGAGGTTAGTACAGATAGTTGTGATTCTAAAACTCAGATTTTTTTTTTTTTTGGTGCTTGAATTTCTACGCTTAATACAGTTATTCAGTTAGTTTCTGTCCTTTGTTCTTAGGTACAGCATACAGAGGGACACAAAAATCATTAAACTTGAAATTTTATGGGCTGAGAGGATTTTTCTACATGGTCTGTGGGAAAAGACATCACTGAGAAGTCATCCATTTGGAAAACTATTTGCTGCTCTGTAACTTTTTCCCCCTTATATCTTTCTCTAGGTTTGCAACAATGGTAAGGGAAGATGTACATGACAGTGAAGATTCTGAACCATCAGTATGTGAGAGAAATGGCATGATTCCTATGCATGAGCAAAGTGAGGTAATTAACTAAGATCCCAAAATATTATTCTAGTCAGAGAGAACTCTCCTTTTTTCCCCTTTTTAAGAATAAAGGGGAAAAAAGGAGAGTTCTCTCTGACTAGAATTTTAAGAATAAAATTCTTAATCTAAAAGGCACTTAAAAGTAAGCATGTAGTATTGAGTGTATCTCATATAGATGTCTGTATGGCACATCTTTATGCACATGGTGATCACAGAATCATGGGTTAAACAAGTCACTCCATTCTGAACGCTCATGGGATCTGTGTTCCAGTCATGACACTGAGTAAGGAAAAAAAAAATATATATATATACACAGAGAGAGAGAGAGAGAGAGAGAGAGAGAGAGGGAAGAAACAGAAAAATAATCAGAAGTGTGGAACTACTACTGGAGAAGGGCCAAACCACATTATAAGCAGAATTCCATGTCTACAGTATGACGATATGCTGACATGAATAATCATACAGGAAGGCAGATGATTAACTTGTCAAAAATAATGTTAAAATTAAGTGAGACATATCCAAAAATGGTCAAAAAGTCCTTTGGTTATGAATATGGATAAGTGGATGTACCAGTATAAGAGAACAGCTCCAAGGGAATGACTCGCAGTTACAGTATTTCTCCATCTTTACTTTGACTTACCAGCCTGAGACTTCCAGCAATGGATCATGTGAGTAAAGCTTGTGCTGGCCAGCTGTGCTGTTTCTTTCATCTTTGTTTTGTTATTTTGGTTCAAGACTTTGCAACAGTAATTATTAAGGAGTTATAGTAAAAGTACCATCTCACTGGAATGATGCTAATCACTAATTCTATTGTGAAATCCAGTCTGGAAGTAGAACATGAACAAATTGTAGAAAATATTAATAAATGTTTAGTTGTGTACACAAGACAAGCTGAGCCTGGCTTGCTATTATTGCTTCTTCATCAAATATGCAAATACTGTTACTGCACAGGTGCCATATCTGTTGGGACAGGAGCCCTGTCAGGTGCAGATAAAAAGGCAAATTTCCTGCAATTTCTCACATCCAGTTCTTGGTGCAATGCAGAAAAACAAACACAGGGCCAAAATGCCAGAATTACATCAAAGCTGGGCATTCCTGTAGTGGTTGTTCAGTTAATGTGGTTGCCTGTAGCCAGTGTGGATCCAGTGCATCTCAGCAGACTTGAGGTGGTGCACACCACTTCAAATAAACACAGTGCCACTTCTGAGGGAGTCTCCTTGTTTGCCTTCAGCAGGAACCAACAGCAGGTGCCAAAGGTACTGATGGGAATGCACAAACAGAAGAAACTGCTCTCTTAGACCACTGCACTCAGCAACCTCCAGAGCCAACAGCAGAGTCTTCAATACCTGCAAGAACATGGAGGCAAATATTTGCTTGTCCTCCTCAGGGTTTACTGGCCCAGACAGTGACAAATGGTAGGTAAGAGACACAGAGTTTAATTGAAACAAGAAGTGGTGAAAGAAGTACTTGTTTCTCTGAATGGGATGATATCTGTCCACTGTCCTTGAAAATAATGAATGGAAATAGCTGTGTTTTACTTATCACACCATTGTTTGAATGTTTGAGCCAGAGGGGAAAAAAAAGATGAAACAAATGTTTGAATGTACAGTTTTTGTTTCTCCAGTCTCATATGTTTACTATGGTAGGTATATTTTGCACTGCAAACTATTTTTATCAAAAGAAAGACCTCCTAATTTTTGTCTTGATAGTTTGTCCTCAGTACTACAGGCTTGCAAAGGCAAACTGATCTATTTTATTTACAATTTGTACTAAACTGAAAACTCTCAAAAGAGATGCCTGGCTAGCTAATTATTTGAGATTTTTCCTAACAAAAGACATTTCATGTGTCCTTGATTGCTTCCACAGCCACTTGGAATTCTTAAGCTTTTACGTTTGGAAATCTACTGGTCTTCCTTTGCCCCCTGTCACTCTCAAGTAAGATTAAGAAAACTCCAGTTTGAAAATGCAGGACATTTATTCAACACATTTTTTTCTTCTCCTTCAGTCTCCTGTTTTATATGTCTGCATGCCTGTTCTCGTTGGGCAACTGTTGGAACAGATTTGTGAACCTTGAAAGAGCATAATGTTTTCACATATCTTATAATATTTTCACACACTGTTCTCATAATATTTTTCAGGATTTTTCCCCCTCTGTATTATTCTGGTTTGATTGCTGTATCAAGGAAAGTGTTTTACTCCAGAGGTCCAGAGACATGACCCTCTTCACAATTTTTTTCCCAGGGATAACAATGTATTGCACAAACACATTGAGCCAAAAAATGATTCTTCAATTATTTTAAAAATTAGACTGGAGCTGCATTCATCAGCTTGAAGATACAGCCAGGCTGTTCAACAGTAGATTTTACTGTGGTTCTGAAATAGCTGAAGGAAGATAAGCAAATGCAAGATAAGTTAGTGAAAGTCTTTGCTTCAAGTTTGGAACCTGTGAAGTGCTTTTCACAGCAGACAAAGGCTCACTAAATTTATTTATTGATGTTCATGTTACCAATTTTAAAATATTTTAGCATCTATAAAATCAGAACATCAGTTTGGGGACCATCAAAGATTACCTGCATTGTTATGATTAAATTAATTTTTAAGGTAAATAATTTCATTTCTAAAAGTCATGGCTAACGTTTTTCTTCAATAGCAAAACAAATGTGACCTAACAGCAAATTTGTTGCTAAGAGATTATTAACTGTTAATTATTTTTTGTTTTGTTCCAGTTGCATTTGTGGTTCTGGTTTGGGCTGTGGTTTGGTCCATTACTGGGGCTGAGTGTCTCCCAGGTGGAAATCTCTTTGGAATTCTGTTTCTTTACTTCTTTGCTGTCATCGGAGGTAAAATTTTTGGATTCATTAAGATAGGAACACTACCCCCTCTCCCTGCTCTTCTGGGTAAGAGATCCTTCCTTCTTCCTGCATATTTTGTGTTGTCAAGTAGTATCTGTATGGGTAGATGTGTTTGGATTGGGAACAAATAAACTGTGTCCCATTGAAAATCTGTAGCTTTTCCAAATTACTTTTTCTGGTCCTCTCTGAAAAGGTGCAAAATTCCCCAGACTGGAATTGAAATTAGTCAAGGCTCTCTTCTTCATTCTTTGTGGGTCAGAGAACCGTTTGCCTGCAGACTCAGTTTATCGTCCTTCAGACCATTCTGTCACAGTTACTTAAAATTTGGGATTAATAATACCAAACAAGAATCTTAATCCAGACATCATTTTACAGTAATCTCTTTGCAAAATTATTGCTGAGCTGTTTCTTTAGTATCTCACACAATGAAAATGTTTTCCAAAGAAAACATTACAGCAATTCCCTGCTACTGGTGGTACAAAGGATTTCTTTCTTCTCCTTCTTTTATCTCAAGATAATTGAAACCTAAGAAAATAAATTCACAACAAGGAATAATTCTTCTGCAGAGAGGTATACTGATTCAATCATAAGGTTTTTTCCACATCAACATCCTATTTTATCTTACATAGAACTGCAAAATAGAAGTGGGAGATTAAAATAATGTTAATGCTGACATCTTTAGAATCTTTTCCGGTTTCTTTCCTAGAGGAGGTTTTATCCTCTTAGATGAGTACAATATTTTGAAGTGCTGTGATGTCAGTGGAGCTGGAAATGAAGCTCCAGGTTCTTCTCCCCAGCTGTATGCTGTCCCCTTGCTGTGTTTAGTGCATTAATGAGTAAAGCTGCTGACAGACAGTAAAACTGCTTGGCAGGGTGGGCCAGGTGTGGCTCTGTAGCCTGCAGGGCTGGTGCTGTGCCTCACACAGGAGCTCCTCACACGGCTCTGTCCAGGCAGCTGTGCACTCTTGTGCTGTTTAGTTTCACCAGAGGAAAGAAATTCAAATGAGAGGGAGGGAGGTTTTGCATATGGCATGCATGCCTGCAGTACGAACATGGAATGTCACATGCAGGGAGTCTGCCCTTTCTAAGTAAGCACACCTCTTAAACAAATAAAAGTATTTCTGACCATTTGGGTTCTGCTTGCTTGGGAGTTTTTTAATTACATCTCTATTTGAAAGTTATGAGTTGAGCGTGAAACTGCTTGTCAGACAGGTTATACTGGACAGCAGAAACTTCAGCATGACGGCACATGTCTCTTGGGTTGTTTAGGACAGAGTTCATTGTTCACATCCCTGGTCTTTGAGGAAAACTGGAGAAATGTATGACTCAGAAGACAAGACAGACAATGTCTGTGAATATTCTGGTTTTACATTAAGAATTCAAACCATGTGCTCTTACCTGCCTATAACCCACTTTTGCTAGGTCCAGTAGAGTGTGAGGTGGCTGGCTGAGCACTTAAGCACCTTATTGTGAGTGTCTCTCAGGAAAAAAGGAATGAAATTGGTACTGAAACAATCACATAATAAATTTTAGGTGCATGTTGCAGAGAGGTTTCTGCAACAGGAACCATGAAGCAAATCAATTAAGATATCCTTTGGGGTGGAGATTTTTGCTTTGTTAAATAGATTCCCAGATCAGGGTAGCTTCAGTGACTTGGACCTCATGCAAATGTTGCAAACAGCTTGTGATCACAATGCCAGCCTCATAAAATTGTCATGAGGTACCACAGATTAATTATGACCCTGTTCTTTTTCCGAGATGTGGTGGAAAGAACAGTGTCTGAAAGTTTAGTGTCCAGGACAAATCAAGTTCACAGTCAAGGCTCACACTGAGCTGGACCAACCTGAGCACAGTGATTTGTTTACTTTTTGGGGTTTTTTAGTTTCCTGTTTCTAAACATGACTAATATAAAATTATGCTACAAAAATTATCTTTGAGTCATCAGGACTCACAATGAATCCTCTGTAGATCCGTATTTGAAGTCAACTTTTCCAGTACTTTTCCATGTGCTTCCAGAGCTGTGGCTTCAATAGCTTTGCAGGAAGTCTCTGCTTTGACAGTTTTACTAATATTTGTAAAATGTTGTGTCTTGCAAGTAGCTCAAATAAAGGATAAAACAAAGTTTATGATTTCCTTTCCCTTTTTTGTCCCCTCTTTGTGTAAGAGTTTCATTGCCAGAGCCCTTGAAAATGTTTAAATTAGTCCATGATGAGCTGGTTTAGATTATATTTCCTAGTGAATGCAGCATAATGATTCCTGTGTTACCTGCATTTCTTACACATAAGAGGATTTTTAACAATTCCCAACTTCTGAGATAAATACATGATATTAGGTGATCTTCCTATTTTTGTATTAAAATAAGCTAACAAGAAAAAAATCTCTAAGAATGCAGAGGTGTCTTTGCTTATGCTAAGTATGACCTGTACCTTGTAATCAAAGCTGAGTTCTTTTGACTCAGACTAAAGCTGTGTATCAGCTGATTTATTAATTGATAACCTGCTGGGTTCTGAGGCCACTTTTGCTGCTTTAAATGTGTTTATCTCTTCTCATGCCTCAGGTCCGATTGTTAAAACATGGCTAATAATTTGGAATATAAATTATTTCTTTTTCTCTCATAATAACATGATATGGTTATCTGTTTTTAAGAGTGCTATACAGGCTTTTCTCGTGTAATACAAAATCATTTGACAGGAGTTTATTTGTTTTGACTTAAGGGATGCTACTTGCTGGTTTCCTAATCCGAAATACCCCGTTCATCAGTGACTTTGTCCTGATAAACCTGCGCTGGTCTGCAGCACTGAGGAACATCGCTCTTTCCATTATCTTGACCCGAGCAGGACTCGGCCTGGATCCAAAGGTATGGCACCAGCCATTTGTGTGTGGCAGACTATACAACAGCAAACAAAAAAACCTGAATAATTGGTTCCATTAAAAATATCGAACTGCTCGCTCTTGGAGCATCTGGAAATTAGATCATTACAGAAAGCATAATTTCTGTTGTGTAATTATATGGTAATATTGGCAGTTGAATTTGTACATTAGGCAAGCATTAAAAAAAAAAAAAACTGAAGAAAAAAATTATTATTATTTTTATTTCCTGAATTTTGTGAGTAGAACCTATTGAAGATGTGTGCACTGTCATGGTCTGTCAGGAAGAGTTTATACATTCCCTGACCAACTCCCTGTTAGTTTATACTGAAAATTTGAAGCAATGCAAGGGATCCCCAGTCCTTGAAAGAGAATGATTTTGAAATCCCAGCCAACCAAAAAAGTGTAAACCCCGTGCAACTTTTTTAACTTTTTTTTTTAATCGTTGCCATTTTAATGCAAATATGTTAATTACAAAGATGAATCCAGCTGCACTACTGAAACAATGATTCTCATCACAATGAAGCCCCATAGCAGTCCTGTGAACAAAAAGTGGTCTCTGCACCCTGAGAAACATGATACTTCATCAATTGATGAAGGCAAGGTTTTGCTTATTCAGAATGGGCTGGCTGAAATAAAGCCCTACTGGCCCCTCCCTGTTGAAGGAACCACTCAGAGTTTATATAAAACTTAGATAAAGTATGGGTAGTTTAGAACATCTAAATTCATTTCTCTTAACCAAGAAAACCTACAGAGTTGCCAATGCTACAGTTATTTAGGAAAATAAGGTTTTGTCAATATTGAAAAATACCTGTTTTCCTTTATTATCATCATCCTCTTTTCCAAAACATTGAGGTTTGTATGAGCATGAACTATGTGTTGTTAGACACAGTTTGGATGTCCAGTTCTGTGAGACTCATTTTTTTCTATTCATAACAACTTTTTTTGCTGAGGGAACTTCATTTTTGACTTATTTTTCTTCCATGTGGTAAGAAAACTGTTGCTTGGACTCTGTGTGTGGCAATGCTTTGATGCAGTTACAATTGTTCCTCATGTAATTGAAACTCTGAAGACATAGAAGTCAGTTTCTCTTAGTCCTGATGATGCTGGAATAAACTGGTCTGGTAAAAAGTGGAACTCGCTGATTTTTTTTTTTTTTAATTTCATGTCAAAATTAGGGACCTACTGTTTGTGACTATTAAAGATAGCTCTTAGAAGCAAATATGCCAGTTTAGAAATTTTTTTAAAAGTTGCTGAGCCAAAAGGAGCCTAATCTCTGAATATCAAGAGAGAGACAGCTGAAAGATGCTTGGCTCCTTGAGCAAAGTTGATGTAGGTCTATAACTTTTCATTATTTGTTCATAGATTTTGGGGCAATTTTGAGGGCTGCTCATGCAACTTCTGGGATTATAGTAAAATATTTTGTGGATGGAGCAAATGAAAAGAAGCCAAACAGAATTTTCTGTTATTCCTTCCCGTGACATTCAGGCACCTTATCAAACCTAGATTCACTGCCACACTTGAAATTTTATACCAAATCCGGTTGGGCTTGGGCTTATCTCTGGTTTAGGCCATGTCATGTCCTATAGTGCAGCTCAGACAGGATTCTTCAACAAGCCATATCAGATTGTAAATGTTTTTCCTCTCTGTGAAGCCAAAGGTTCTGACACTGTTGTGCCTGTATGGTTGCAGGCTCTTAAGAAGCTCAAAGCTGTCTGTTTACGGCTTGCTTTCGGACCGTGCCTCTCAGAAACAGGCACAGCTGCTGTCCTTGCCTACTTGTTCCTGCATTTGCCATGGCAATGGGGATTTATATTAGGGTAATGTACTGCCTTTTCTCCTCTATGACAAAAGTGCTGGTTTCCAGGCTGCAGCTCAGTGATCCAACTGTGGTTAGTTGTCTGTGCCAAGCAGAGACCTCAGTTCAGTGCCATTCGGGAAGCTGTACTCAGCCCCTCTGGTCTTCTGCTTACCCTTTATATCTGGCTCTGTGGCTTATTTAAAGGTCATATTTTCAGGCTGCAGAGGAGTACTTGCATCATTACTTTCCTGTGTTTGTGACCTGAGCACTTGAAGAAAGAAGGATGGTGCAGTCCCTGAGTCTTGAACCACAACAAAGGGGGCTTTTAGGGACAGCAAATTATACCACAGTTTGGACAATCTTCATATTGGAATTCAGAACTTCCATACAGAGAGATCCACATGGGACAGCCTTCCTGTCACAAATCAAGGACAAGGATGTGGCATAGTACATTCTAGAGTAACATCCTTGAAGAGAAGACCTTTTCCATCTAGTCCTATCTAAATTGGTGGACTTGGGCCAGACCCATACACTAGCACGAGATGGGTGAACTCCTCCTCTGACACCTGCTGAATTTTATGAGAAGGAACTGGGCTGCTGAGTCATAAATATGTCTAGACCAGGTTTCCAAATGGGACATTCCAGGTGTCTGTCAGGGAGCATAACTGGCTGGTAGTGGAAACTCCAGTTTTAGCCTGTGGAGCCTTTTACTTCTAATGTTACTGAGTTGGACAGAAAGTACGAGCTGATTGGAGATCTGCACAGAAATATCCCTGCGTGTAATTAGAGGGGAAAGGTTAGGAAAATGCTTTACATAAAGGTCTACTTATTTATACTTCAAAAGAATTAAGGTCAGAACATTTTGAAGTTTTTTTTAGTTCAGTGCTTTCTTTTTGAGATGCTGAACCTGTGTATTTTCAGTTTTGTTTTAGGTGCAGTCTCCCCTGCTGTGGTGGTTCCCTCCATGCTGATTTTACAAGCTGGGGGATATGGGGTGGAGAAAGGTGTCCCAACTTTGCTAATGGCAGCTGGCAGCATTGATGACATTCTGGCTATCACAGGCTTCAACACTTGCCTTGGGATGGCTTTCTCTTCTGGTATGCTGGTTAATCTGTACATAATGAAATGCAGAACAGTGATATTTTGGAGAATGTGTGCTCTGTTATGGCTGACTGGTTTAATGGCATCTTGTTATAAAAGTCATGTATAGCTTTAAATACTGAGATGGAAATTACCCATGTTCAAAAGTTGTTGTAACATGGTCAGCTCTGAGTTGTGGGTCACAACAACTTTTAGAGAACATTTTTCCCGGAGTGCTTCCTTACCTGCCAAGTCTGGGCTCTGCATGCCCAACATGATGCTTTGAAATTTCACTGGTTTTGGCAATGTTCTTAGAGTGGCTCTTTCTCTGACTTCTCTTGCACACTTTCTTGGCATGGGCTTTCAGAGAAAGAAAGTTGCACCATCCAATTCTTTCAGGCCCATAGGTTCCTTCCTGAACTCCTTTGCCCCGAGTAATTTAAAGCAGACACTGTCCTGGAATCACCTCATAGGTCTGGGGAGCATGGTTTGAGTGAAGCTCTATGAATGGCTTACTGAATGTGTTTTACTTTTGCAAAATAGGTTCTACTCTGTACAATGTGCTTCGTGGAGTGCTGGAGGTCACTGTTGGAATAGCAGCTGGGGGAATTCTGGGAATGTTTATTCGACATTTCCCAAGCCATGATCAGGTAAAAACCTAGTTTAAAAAAGATTACAATCAAGTGATTCTTTGCTAAGGGATTATTTTCTTTAGTTATTGATTTCCAACTTCCTGTGAAGCTGGTTTTGGGGAAAGCTTTTTACAGTGTAGCAGCTTCCAGATTGCAAACCTATCAAGTGAGGATGTGTTTTAAAGGTGATTATTTATTTACTGCACCAATTATAATGTATGATAGTGCTCCCTGATGAAAGTTAGGAACCCAGCTCACCATCCTGCTCTCATTGAAGGTAGTGGAAATGGAGGAAGGGTCTGATACCCATTTCAGACAGTAAAATAATAATTTATTAGACTGATGCAAGACACCTGTACTTCTTTAAGATGTATCCAGTAGGCCTAAGATTAAAAATTAACAAAGCAGATGTATTAGAGGTTTCAAGTGATCGAACATATCATAAGTATTAATTACAATGTGTTACTTTCCATAAAAGTTACATTTATAGAAAGTGTGAGATGAATTTTCTATTGAGGGGTAATTAAATGAACAGAAAATTGTGGAAGAATGTAGATACACTCTGAACTACCAAAGTCAATATTCAGAGCATCTATTGCCCTCAGTGGCATCAAATTTGTTATTAAATAATGTAAGAAGTGTGATACAAGAGCTAAAGAGTTAGATAGAAATGAGGAACAATGGCAGATAACTGTCTGCTGTGAGACTGAATTAAATAAAACTAGATTATTCCTGGCAAATATTTGACTTGTCCTTAAAAACATGTGGTGGCAAAGGTTTCACCTTTCCTTGGATAAACTGTTGTAATACTTGACTACACAGGTAGAAAATCCTGCTATCACAGAGCTGAGGCAGAGCTGCTGGAAGAGAGCATCATGTTCCTTGCGATAAAAATAGCCTATTGGCAATAAAAATTTGGGTGGGCAGAGGGAAAAAAAATTGCGTTTTCAAAATTTGTATTCTTAGGAATTAATGTCTGAAAAAAATCCTCAATCGAACTGAGCAGTTCAATTCTCACTTGGAAGCTTTGATTCCTTCAGAATTATTAATTTTTAATTTTCTTTTCAAGTTCTTACTTTCAAAATTAAGAGGAGTAACTTTTTTGTTTGTCTCTTTCCTTGGCTGCAGGCATCTTTGGCATGGAAGAGATCGTATTTTATACTTGGACTGTCCATGTTTGCTGTTTTTGGCAGCATCTACTTTGGCTTCCCTGGATCAGGAGGACTTTGCACATTAGTCTTAGCTTTTGTTGCAGGTGTGGGATGGTCTGATGAAAAGGTGAATGTTTACATAAGAAGCATACCATATCCAAAGTCTGATGAATGTACAGCCTGACAGGAGCTTGAATTTCTGTCTGGAGTGGTAATGGTATATTTCTGAAGCGTTAGAGGGTGTACAGATTTAAAAAGCAAACAAACAAACAAGCAAAAAAAACCCCCAAAACCTCACCAAACCAAGCAGCACATTGTACATTTGTTTTGGAAGTGTTTAGCATTTTCTGTGACAGAAAGTGACCATGTGTGTCAGTAGAGCAATATGTATGCCAATACAGAGCCTGGTGTACTGACTGAGAAATGCTCAGCTTTTCTTAGACATCTTAAGCCACATGAAGGAGACTTAACACTTGACAGTAGCAATCCAAAGCTTCAATTCCCAGCTCTGGGAGTGTCTGTACACAGTCAGTTTATGGTTAAGTTTACAAATGAGTGTCCAAGATGCAGTTGTGTACATGGCCTGAATACCCTGACGGTTTGTTCCCTGTGGTTTGGAGGGGGTGAAATGAAAAGCAGTGATTAACTGTCCTCTCTCATCTTTCCCAAATCTCAGCCAGTGTAATTTGGATAACTTAGAGAGCAGGGTGCACACAATAAATGATGATGTAAGGCCATAAAAAAACCATACGAAAGACTGCTTTTTTTAGTCACTTTCTCTTAGGCCTAGCCTACTTCATCTTACTGCTGCTGCCCCACTGCCTTTCTGTACCCTGCTATGTCTGACTGCCTCTTTTGCTTGATCCCATCTACTTTAATGTTTTGAGGGCATCTTTCTCTCCACAGCTATAGCTTTGTGACATTCAGTAGAAGGAGGGGAAGAAAAAGGAAAGGGGGTTAGATATAGTAGAGTCCATGTTATTATCCCCATCTTGACCCTGACTTTACAAAGATACCAAGGTTTGTTATAACAATGAAAAGGAACTAAGATTGTCCAATTTTAAAGGATGAAAAGCTCTTCTTCGGACTTAACTAGTTAAGGACATTACAACTGATAAAGTTCTCTACTGAAAAGCTTTTAAACCATTATAGGAGGAAGAACCTTAAAAGAGTATATGCAGTCTGTAAAGGCTTAGTTTAAATTCTTTTAATCTGTGAATGAAGCTTCATGGCCTTAAGTATATTGATGTCAAATGCCTTAGCTCTTTTTTTCTCAGATATAGATAGAGGTTTGTGTGTACTCAATATATTACTGAGGTTTTCCTGCTGAAATTCTCAAAGGCCACTGCCTCCCACTGTCCATGGTGGAAGGCACTTGACAAACACTGTCTACAGAGAACAGTGAACATTGGACCTATTCCTGGGACAGTCAAATGGGTAGTAAATAGGCTGAAATCCCTAAAGAGGGGATTTCTGGGGGCTCTTTTTTATTTTTTTTAAATTTAATTTTATTTTGCCAGAACTGAAAAGGGTGAAATAACAAGGGGAAATGAGGCCAAAAATGTTTATATATATATATATACACACACATATATATATATATATTTCCACCTCATTTTCTTTATGGTTACAGAAGTTTTTGTGTTACTGTAACCTACCATTCCTTGACAGAAGAGCAAGAGGTGTTGCAGGATCAGTCCCAAAGAGAATACCAAGGATGGGACATGTCTAGGCCCTGGATTGATTATTAAGTGACAGAGCACTGCACTTATATTTTCCACACACTCCTGCCTGAAGGTTCATTTGCTATTGTAGAACCCACTTAATTGAAAGACAAGTGCTATTTGATATACTATGTGTACCTTGTCATGTAAGTGGAAGATTCCTGTTTACCCTGGCAGCAGTTGTTTTAGGAAAATTGTGTAAAGTTCAAACGTGAGGAGAAAAGATGGTTTTGCCTTGATACACTATATTGCAGTGGAAAGTTCAGCACTTGTTCCTGCTATGTGATTTCAGACTTGCTCAGGCTGACTTTGCTCCTGCTGACATGGAGAGAAGCCTCTGACTGAGTGTAGCACGAACAGAGGTCGTGACTGAAACTTGGGAGAGTCAGACTCTGCTCAGCTACAAATGGAAGAACATGTTTAGGCATGCAGTTCCCAAAGGCTCAGAAACTTCATGGCATAGCTGTTGAAATGACATCTTTCTAAATACTGAAAATCAACAATGCTCTCTTTTCTTCCTTGTGTCTGCAAACTGCTCTGTTACTGTTCAAACACCAGTGCTTTTTATTTCTCCTCTCAAGACATCAAACATTTATTTACTAGGACAGCCAGACTCAGTCTGACCTTCAAAAGGTGTGCAACTGATTTTGAATGTTTTAGTATTAGTTCAGAGAAAGAGGAGCAATTCTGGACAAACTTTATGAAACATTTTCACTTTGTCCTATGATTACTTAACTGTTGTGTCTGCTTGGCCATCTTTTTGTGAATTTACAGATTTGTTTTGTTTTTATTGCAGAGAGAAATAGAAAAAATTGTGGCAGTTGCATGGAATATCTTTCAGCCTTTTCTTTTTGGTTTAATTGGAGCAGAAGTATCCATTACATCTCTTAGGCCTGAAACTGTTGGTAAGATCATTCACAAATTATTATCATTCATTAATTTTCCAGCTTTCATTACTGGCTTTGAAAGAATCTCTATAAAGAAATCTAAAACAAAGAAGATTATGGCTGACCCCCCAAAAAATCAAAAAGCCAGAAGCACCTATGCACAAAAGCACTGAGAAGTGTTTGTCTGTTGCAGGGCTCTGTGTTGCTATATTAGGCATCGCCCTGGTTGTGCGGATCATAGCAACGTTCCTGATGGTGTCCTTTGCTGGGTTTAATTTCAAGGAGAAGGTATTTGTCTCACTGGCATGGATTCCCAAAGCCACTGTCCAGGTAAACAATCCAGCATCACTTTCATTCCAGGCTAAATCTATTTTCTTTAGCAAAGCTCCCTAACTAGTGTAGCAGTAAGCGGGGAAAGGTTCAGGCTCAATGACAGCTGAATGTAGAATATTGACTGTTCATACTCTAAAACACTATAACTGCTTGAAAAGTGTGTGGAGAACCTTCTATGTGCAAGTGTTTTGCTTGCATCCTGGGCTAACTCTTTATAATGACAGTGAATTGTATATATACCACAGGAAATGTAACCACTTTTCAGCCATTGCTAATTATTGTGCCTTCACATACAGATTCTGAGAACTCTCAAAGGTAAAAGCATTTCCCTCTTACACATGAAGTGTCTGCAAGGACAGTCACATCCGAACTCAGAATGGGTTTCAGTTTGTGATTATTTTGGTAAGGAGTGGTCTGAGAGCCGTATTAACAGAGATGCCTCTGGCTGGCTGCATTCCTGCTCCTTTATTTCAGTGATTGTCATGTCATTTGGACTTTGCCTCAGTAGCATGATTACTTGCAAACAAAAGTTAATAACCAAAACAGGCAAGGCTTATTACATGATCAGTGATACAAATTTTCAGAAGCTTCCACTAGTTGACTATTGTCAGGATACATTCTCCAAGTGAGGCATTTTCACAGCTGCAATACACAGTATACTGGCCTATTTCATTAATCACACATTCCCCAGAAATGTGGATAAAATGGCAGCTAAGCAATGTTCTTCACAGGAGGAAGCCACACAGATAAACTCATTAGCTTAGGAAATTCCAAGCCTAGTCAAGTGAAAATTGTTCTTATAGGTGTAATACAATGCTTGCTTCACTATGTACAGCCTAAAAACAGGTTGAATGTATTAAAAATGTCAAATTTCTGTGGAATGTTGACTAATGATAAGTTTGCTTTTTTCCTCGTTCAGTGCTAAAGATTACTTTCTCCATCTCAGCAATGTTTTCTTCCCTGCAGGCTGCAATAGGTTCTCTTGCCCTGGATACAGCAAGACAACATCAAGATGAGCAAAAGGAAAAGTATGGAATGGATGTACTGACAGTAGCTTTCTTGGCTATCTTGATCACTGCTCCAGTTGGAGCCCTGGTTATTGGCTTGGCAGGGCCCAGACTTCTGCAGAAGGCTCAGACAAAGAGCAAGGAGGATGAGGAAGGTGCAGAGGTTGGTGAAGAGGCAGAGGCCTGTGAACCTTCGTAAACAGACAACTGCAGCAGTCTGGTCCTTCAACCCTGACACTTCTGCTGTATAAAGGTGGCATGTCTGATCTTGCTGAAGGAACCTAAAACTATCAGTCACCCCTGCTATTTTTAAAGCAGCCCTGGTGGAGTTCTATAAAATAGTTTTATGTGAAGATGGTGCCTTGAGATGAAATAGCTGAACATACAGTGAATAAGATGACCTGGCAGTGAGTCACTGAGTCAAGACTGACTTGAAATGTGTGGGTGGTGAGGCCAAGGAGAGGGTCAGAATTGTTGAGGTGTGGAGTGGGGCATGAGGTAGAATATAAGCCAAAAAAAATGGAGACTAATGTGAATAACTTCTTGATGGTTGAAACTGGGCTGTGAGATGACAAGTTATACAACTCAAAGAAAGCAACTTCAAAGTAAGTGGTTGTTGATACATAGTGAACAAGTCCTCCATCAGTTAGTTAGTGATTGGTGATTGATCAGTTGGTGATTCCCTCTCCTTCCTCGGTTGTGTTCCAAAACTTGCCTTTCCCTATTGCTGTTCTTCCTCACAGCTGATGCACTCTTTTGTGCCTTCAAGGACTGTCAGCTCTGGTCATACAGCAACTGGTACTTACATGCTCAAAGAGACAGTTGGGGCCATCATAGACTGGTAATAAAGATGTTGGTGCCAGCAGAAAAAAGGACAGAGCCTGAAAATGCGATGAGGGTTGTGGGATGGCTGTAAGGACTGGGGGAGGGTTGTACGGGATTGGGATGGCTGCTTCTTCACCTGTGTACCTCAGCCTTCACACAACATGATGTCAAGAGAGACATGCTGTTCTACAGCCAGGAGTAACCTCTGTTGATCAAAATCCTACTCTTGCCTTTCAGGTTTGGTATCACTTGACAGGTAACAGCAAATCTGTCTGGCTCCAAGGAAGTTGTTGGTAACTCCATTCTGAGGCACAGGGTCAGTACAGCATCCCTCAAAAACTGGAAGTTACTGTGTTATTTTTTGGAAAGGCTATTAGATTGTGCCTGTAACTGAGGTGGGCAACACTCTCCTGCAGATTGCTACACTACAGTTCACTGAACTCATTTTACTGCATCCTGTGTAGAATACATTTGATGGTGTCCAGGTTTTGGCATTAGTAAGAACAAATAATTTCTATTTTAGCTTTTAAATTTTTAATATGCAAAACAAAAAAAAGTACAAAAATACTTTTATCTACTTAAATACTTCTAATGTTGACACTGTACTATTTGCAGGTAAGCTCTATATGTAGCTATACAGATGAGCTGTATATGTAGCTGTACATGCATGCCTTTGTATAAGCCTTACTCTCTAAGCAAAAAGAAAGCTTCCTGAGAAATAGTTCAGTTTCATTGCCTGCAGTTCCAGCACAATGATAAAAATGTCAGGAAATTTATCTGTTAAGTTTTCCCCTAACAGTTATCAAGTACATTATATTTCTCTTAACTGTGCACACTGCTGTTCTCTCTGCCTCCTCGGGAACGTACCATCTTCAGTTCAGTTCAAGTTTGTCTCCTGACCCAAAAGGAAGATGCTTTCAAACTGCACCTGATGGGTTTGAAGCTGGAGCAATGGTTAAGGGTGCTGTGCTTGGTCTTTATTGTGACATTCCTGGCCTTCTGTGCCTGTTCTGACTACTTCACGTGCACTCCTGGTGTCCTGGCCCGGTCCTGTTCAGTATCTTTACTGATGATCTGGATAAGGGGATTGAGTGCACTCCCAGCAAATTCGTGGACGACACAAAGTTGGGTGGCATTGTTGATCTGCTGGAGGGCAGGAAGTCTCTGCAGGGGATCTGGACTGGCTGGATCGATGGGCTGAGACCAGAATGAGTTCAAGAAGGCCAAGTGCTGAGTCCTGCCCTTGGGTCACAGCAGCCCCAGGCAGTGCCACAGGCAGGGACAGAGTGCCTGGGGAGCTGCCCAGTGGGAAAGGACTGGGGGGTGCTGGTGACAGCAGCTGAACATGGGCCAGGGTGTGCCCAGGGGGCCAGGAAGGCCAAGGGCATCCTGGCCTGTGTCAGCAGTGGTGTGGCCAGCAGGAGCAGTGACTGTCCCCCTGTACTGGGCACTGGTGAGGCCACAGCCCAAGAGCTGTGTCCAGTTCTGGGCCCCTCACCGCAAGAAGGACATTGAGGTACTGGAGTGTGTCCAGAGAAGGGCAGTGGAGCTGGGGAAGGGTCTGGAGCACAGGTCCTGTGAGGAGTGGCTGAGGGAGCTGGGGCTGTTTAGCCTGGAGAAGAGGCAGCTCAGGGGGCACCCGACTGCTCTGCAGTGCCCTGACAGGAGGCGGTAGCCAGGTGGGGGCCGGACTCTTGTGGCATGCTGCCAGTGACAGGATGAGATGAAGAGTCTAAGCTTTACTAGGGAAGTTTTAAGGTGGACATTAAGAGGAATTTCTTCATAGAAGGGGTTGTTAAACAGTGGAATTGTCTGACCAGGAAGATGGAATCATCTTCCCTGGAAGTGTTTAAGCAAAGACGGCACATAGCACTGAGAGTCGTGGTCTGGTTGACATGGTGGTCATAAGTTGGTTCAGTGATCTCAGAGGTCTTTTCCAACCTCATTGATTCTATTTTGTGAAATGCATGTAGTTTTAATTGGAAATGGTAATTTTGGTAAAGTTAACTGACAAGGTGAGGAAATACAGTGTGCATTAGTAGCTGTCTATAAAATAGTTCTACTTCAATAAAACTTAAAGGAGTTCACTTTTTTGTAAAGCTTTATAAAAAGTAGAATCCTCACAGAGGGATCACTATGCCAAATTTGGAATGTGTTCAATAACAGAAGTGTGATGTTGGAAGGATTACACCCCTTTAAATTTGGACACAACCATAAGTACAAAAGCAAACCTCTGATGAAGAGCTCTTGTTTGTGATAGCCTCTAATACTTCCTCCCCAGCAAAACAGCATGTCATAAATGGGATTTGCCTGTTCCTGTAAACTCAGTGTGCTCTCAGTTATACATTAGATCGCTTCCACAATTCTGAGTGCCTGAATAAGCTATACCAATGAAAACTTCCCATCTTTTTTGTTAATCTAAGTGAGATTGAATAGATTTTTCTTTCCCTGCCATTTTATGTCCATATTTCTCATGAGACCCCTTTCCCCCAGCTTTTATTAAATCTTCAAAAAGTATCAGGTTGGAGCTATTATAGAGACCTGCAAATCTAAAATTAAAAGCTTTAATGCTTTATAATGTTCCCTCTCCTTATCTTCCAGAAAGAAAACACTTGCATCTTTTCATTAAATGATATGTCAGGATTAAGAACTTAAGAGACTGGGGTTTTTTAGTAAGTATCCCGACAGTTTCAGCTGCTTTTGAATAGCAACTAACTTTGGGATTAGATTTCAGTTTTTATCAGAGTACGAGTGAAGCCTGACATTAAAGAACACCTCCTTTTTAACAAAAAGCCTTGAAAATCGTTACTGAATAAGGCATAAATTCAAGCCAATTAAATAATTATGCCATGGTATTCTCTTATTTGCAGGAAATAAAATAAGAGCACAATGTGCAGTAACTGATAAGCAGAGTCCCGCTGTCATGCAGACATAATCACAGGCATAGTGTGGGGGAAGTCTGAGTGTGCTGTTCCAGAAGGTTCACAAGAACCTCTGCAGCAGAAAGGTCTGACAGCAGAAAGTGTTCCCAGCAGCCAGCATCCAGCAGCTACAGCAGGCAGCATATGGGAAAAGACAGAAATTGTCTGTCTGCAAGCAGGGAGTCCAACAGGCCAGGGGATGTGATGATGATGTGATTATAATCACTGCTTACTCTCTCTTTTTCAGCCAAACTGAGCTTTTTATGGAATTTAAACTGAAGTCTAAAATTAACTGTGAAAGAGTCATGTAATAGCCACAAAATGGATGATAGTTTCTGTATCTTGATTTTTAAATAAAGAGTGCAAGAGACCAAATTTTTGGTCAATTGCACTTCAGTTACATTTGTCTAGTAGTTGCCCCAAGTCAGACACCTTTCTCCAAACCTATTTTACAAGTTTATTTGTATTCTATTATAACCATGTTCAAATTAATTATGAAAAGAAAGGAAAACATTGCTGTTCTTGTAAACAGGTGTCACAAAATGCCGATTTCCATTTCCCCAGATTTTCCATCAACACTGAAGATCTGGTCCTATGACCTCCGTTCCAGTCTTTATTGGTATTTAGGGCAAATTTATTCCTGTGTATGGAGCTTCCCAAGTAGATTAGAAAAGTCAGGTAATTAGTTCAGCTTCTCAGTTGCTGGTGAGACATAGAGCTGTACAGGCACTTCAGCTTTTAGCTATCTATCTCTGACTTCAGATGGGAAAGATTAGTAAATTCTTTGAGATTTTCTATAGGAAGTTCTGTGGACATGAGAGAGTATTACCTTGACAGATTTTGAAATCCAAGGAAATTATGATTTATCTTGCTTGTGAGTCTCATTAAATTATCTTGTGGAAATTATAAAATGTGCTTTTTATAGAAGAACTGTGACTTGCTTTTGCAACACAACAAATTTGTTCCATGCCCTTACAAATATAAGTACAAACAAAAAAAACTGTCCCTGTTTATCCTATAGCCATGTCTGTAGATTGCTGTTAAACTATCTCATCTAAGAGCAAGTAGGGAGAAAAAAATAATTCCATCTCTAACACAGCTTGATTAAGTAATGAAGAGGTTAAACCTTACATTGTTCTTCTCTTCAAGGAGTTTTTTGGGAGAAACAAAACCATGTTGCTGTATTACTCACTTTAACAAGGTTTCCCTTAATTTAACAGGTTTGGTTGTGATTTCAGAGGAAACCAATCTGTTTGACTACAGAAATATCCTGATAAAAGCTGGAAGCACATACAGCCTGTGTCTAATAAGTCTGCTACAGTAGACTGTGGTTTTTAAACCCTGAAAAAATTGTCAGGGACAGAGCTTGACATTTCACAGTAATTTCTTCACCAAACCCAAGAACTGGGGATTGATATTCTATATACATCTGTAAGTGAAAACAGTATAAGACACTTACCTTTATATATTTTTCCCTGCTATAAATGTTTATATCCTAATACATTTATGGTTTGCTCATCCATTAAGGCAAGACCACCATGAAGCATTTAAACAATAAACATTATACCATGGTTCTGTTCCACACGTTATAAAAGCAGGAATTTAACACACAGTCACATCCTGATCTGCCATCTTTTACTGCAAGGCAAGAGGTTTTGGAACCTGGAACTACAACTGTCACAAATTGAGGAGGAATGATCTACCTTAACTCTGCTGCTGCTGCAAGAGCCCTTATGGGTGAGAACAGCTTTCTGACTCGCTTTCTGTTTCAGCACTCTGGTGATCAGCTTTGGCAACAGCTCTGGGGCTTCCCACCTAACAAAGGGTCAAATAAAATGCTGTTAAGGAATGGGTGAGAATCTGTCCATGGTACCATTGTCTGAAACTGGAGCATGGACTGAATTTTTATTTTTAAACTAATGGATACACTATTTCATGGGAGAATTAAGCACTTTAGAATAATTAATTAGAAATCCAGCTGTTAGGTAAGTAGTAATTATCTGCATCTGAATTTAAGCCTCAGCACAGCAACGTTCTGACTTGCCTAAGTAATAATTCTGAATGAGTAACAAGCCAAGAGAACAGCTCAGCTCTGCATCCTCACTTCTGTCTCTTAACCCATTCATCCCTTGAAAATTCCCAATGCAAAAAGTAGTGACTGTAATGCAAGGGAACTTGCAGGAGACAAACTTGTGTTTCCTTACCACCAAAACAGGGCCCAAAATACAGGGTTAATGGTGGTGGGTGACCTGCTCAATAATTTGGTTAATATACAGCCTGGAACTGCCAGCACTCCACCTGGGATGCTGTGTGAAACTTTCCAGCAGTGTGGGGTTTGTCTGAGCTGGGCTGCTTTGTGTAAGACCAACAAAGTGCCCACTTAGACACCATGCAGGCCAGACCTTCAGCTAGCATGACTTAACACTGATCTGCTGCCTGAAAATACATTCACAAAGGAGAAAGTTGGTATCTTTTTCTCCCCCACTTAAGTACACTTAAATTTGTTCCTGAAAAGCTGAGTAAAACATGATTTCTCAGCAGAACAAATCCAACAGAAATGTGCACTTGAAATAGTGACAGTTTTATAATTGTATGTTCATACAAAAAAGGCTTAGTTGTAGAAAGTCAATTTATTATTGAAATAAACGACTTATTTACAGAGATAGGTACTTTACAGTTTTACAAAGCAGGCAAAATTCTTCTCAGAATAAGGTACCAAAACAGTGACAAATTCATCACTGTCTAAATGCAATTTATTCCAAAAAGAAATCTACAGCAATCATGAAACTAAATCATACCAGTCACATAACAAAATGCTGTCCCTTGCAACTACAACAGTATAAAAGACTTTTTATCAGTCATGATCTAGATTAAGCATCTGCTATACTTCTTTCTTCTTGAGTATTAGTGGACCTACATTATCTCCTGTTAACTCATTGTGCTTGTTGTGGGAGCCATCACAGACAGGGAACTGAAAAATAAAAACCAAAACCAAGGAATTAGCATAATTCTGTACAGCAGTTGCACGGTGATTTCTGTATTTCTTCCTGAGCCCTGAGTGCTCTGATAATGTTGCTAGTTCCTCCTCTGATGTCCTGGTTCAACATCAAACTCCCTGTCTCCTATCAGACACAGGATACTAAGGGCAACAAACACAGTTAATGGGTAACTAAGTTTGGGAGATCCTAAAATAGCTGTTCTTAGACACAGAGTCAGGGACAAAGCCTTTTCCATGAAAGAACAGCAAACAAAACAGCCATCACAGCTACAAATGGATTTACTGTACAACTATTAAGAGTGCTCTTTAATAGATTTAGTGATTTGCAACCAGAAAGTACTTTTTTAAGAGAAGCTGAAATACTTGGCTGAAGTGATTAGTCCAAAGTGAGAATAGCTGAGTTAAGCTTCTTCAGTTCAGGGCAGACTTTATTGTTTTTATTAAAAAAGGAAAGCATTTGGTCCAGGGAAAACAAAACCAGACTGTGGTCAGGACATTCAAAACTGAATCAGGAAATGAAAATTGAGGCAAAATGAAATACACTCGTTTACATCTAGCTGGTTTGGGGGATATGGAATATCCCAACCAGTCATCTCACTGCTCTGGACCAGATAGGAATCACCAACACAGGCCTAGCCTAATTTTCATTCTAATATGAACAACTTTCTAAGCATTGTTCTTTGCAAAATAAGAGTAGTTTTCTCTTAATTAGTTGCAATGTATTTCCAAATATTTGCTTGGTTTTATTCTTACTCACATGTGCTACCACTCTAAACATTTTTAGAGAAACCCTACTGTGTTTCTTTCAAGTTTCCACAGTTACTTTCTTCAGGTAGTCAGGTTTGTGCCATTCTGCAAAGTTCAGGAGCATGTTCCAATTCCAGACAAAGGCAACAGCTCAACACAGAGCAATCCACTACCAAAGCTCTGCTAAAAATATGCAAGTTTCAATCTCTAACCCTAGAGCAGCACAATGTCTTACCGTCTTCGAACGCCAACACCTGCAGTAAGCTTTGGTGAGGCACAGATCTTCAATGTTGATCTCATTCACTACTTTGGGATTTTCCTTCTGGATCTTGAGGTTAATCAAGCTATCCTTCTGCTGTTTCTTCTTGGGGAGGAAGGGACGAACAGCCAGGTAGCCGAGCAGGGCCAGCACGCCCAGGAAAGGCAGCAACCGCAGCCATTCTGAAACTGGAGACAAGGCGGGATTTAGGCCGGCTTTGGGCACCGCCCCAGGATGCTGCAGCAGCAGCTACCTGCACATGGCTTAGGGGCTCAGCAGGGCCCTCAGGGAAAACAAGATTCCATTGGTGAGGCTCAGGGAAAAAAAAAGAAGACATAGATTAAATCCTGGGATTTACTCCAGCCAAAGTAAAAATCTGACTCCTAGAATTTAGTGAATTGAAATTAATTGATGAAATTGAATTTTATCACTCTAGAAGATGATTCAATGGAAGAATATAAAACATATAGAAGATTTATTGAAATGGGCAACACTAAGGTACTGATAAAACCTTCACCAATCTCTTTGGTTGTATTTTTCAGACCTCTGCTCAGGGATCTGCAATCAGTTTCTACAACACGGAGAAAGAAAGACACCTAAGACCAGGAGGTGAAGTCACAGAAAATTGCTTTTTACCAAGGTAAGGAACTTCTCTCAAGTACAGTTAAAAAATAAAAGTATCCACTGCAGATCTGGCTGCCCTGCTGCTACATCATTGTAAATCTTCTAGGCATACTGGTGAGAAAAGGCTTACTGGACTTTTTAAGACATGCATCAATAACTGGCATTTATATAAATAAGGTGGATCTACTTTGCCAGCAGAACATGCTGTGAAGAACATGCACCCCAGTGCAATTTAAATACCACGGTGCACTAAAGGTTGAGAGCATTTTTCTAAATTTCTGGAGAATAATTAAGCACTCATACAGAAGGGCGTTTAAAAATATTTTAGAAGAGAAAGAAAAAAGTATAACAAGCTGGACCACAAGCAGCTGCACAAGCACTTTTTAAGACAAGACACTAATTTATTGAAGATTAGAATATAGCAAGATTCTGCTCTAAAAATTGTTTTTTGAAAATAAGATGTACAAGAAAGAAAACACAACAGAGCAGGCTAAGTCTGCCAGGTGGGTTGCAGCCCTGAAAAAGTACAATATTCTGTATAGCTTGATTTAATTTGTACTAATAAAACACAAGTTTGCTAATACTTCTCCAGTTAGAATCCAATGGATTTTTCTTAAGGATTTGAATTTTCTGGAACCAGACCATGTAATGAAAATAATTTGTGGGATTAATATTTTGTTCTTTGTTGCCTTTGATGTGACAGCCACATTTAGTGCATTTATCTGGCAATGCATCACAGCTGCCTAAATGCTAAAGGCACTGCAAGAAGTGTCAGCAGTCATTCCCCAACTGCACCTGCAGCAGTCCCTGCACACCACAACTCACCACATTCACTAGGACTCACTGCAATGCATTCATCTCTGGTGCTCTCTACTTAGTTCCTCCAACGAGCTGCAAGCCTTAAATAATAATTAACACTGAGATACTTAAATGTTTTCAGCTGCACAGAACCCTGAGTTCCTGGACAGCAGTGCCTGTTTGCCTTCTCTATCATTACTTTTCCAGAACACTCCATCAATTCCATCAGGAATCCAAACACACTTTCTTACCTTACCTGAAGGACTGACTTGGAATGTATTTCAAAAGAGAGGTAAAATATTTGGTCACTGAAAAAAATTTCCAAACTTTGTATTTAACCTGACTGTTGACAAAAATGTGGATCTCTACAAAGCTGCTCCTCTGAACTCCAAGACAGAACAGTCATTCCAAGAGGCACACCAGGACCAGGGCATCTGTCAAGTGTGTGGTGAATATAACTGGGCTAAGACTGACACACAAGAAGGACAGGTCTCACACTCTGATACAGCATCAAAATGAGAACAGGGGTCATGTCTCTGAATGGCTCACAGCCAGCTGGGTTCACACAAGTGAAAGAGGAACATGATAGCTGTAACCTCTGGGAAAGGAAATTAGAAGTAAACATGAATAGGATGTACAAGGCTGTTCTTTAGGATGGTTATTATTTAATGTTTGTACCAAGATAACTGCTGATAAATACTTTTGTCCTCACTAGCCAGTAAATTCTGTGCTTACTTCTAATGTGGGAGTCTCTGGAAAGCCCCCAGTTACATTCATGTGTACACTAACCATAAACTGGCTTGTTATTGCCAAAAGACTGCCTGAAGCTCCTGTGTTTAAACTGAAAAATCAATGTGATCGTGTTCTAAGGCATGGATACAAGACACTGTCAGAGATCTCTAGGCTGGGTGAGCAGGGATGGTAAAAACCCTTCATCCACACTAATGCAATGCCTCCCTACAAGTGTAGACTGCTCTGGTTTTGAAGCCATGCATACCTTTCTGAAGCACATGTAGGGCAATTCACAAGACTTTATTTTCACAGCTGACAACTCAGAATTCAGCCATTACACTGATTCTGAAGATTCTTTATCGGTTCTGCTGCATGGGGACAGGCAGATTTTGGAGACAGAAATGAAGAGCAGTGTATGGAACAGGTCAATCTTCAGACTTGTGTTAGATAGAGACTAATCCCAAAGATAAGTCCTGGAAAATATCAGAAACCAGAGAATTCCAAGAAGAGAAGCTGAGGCAATGGATATTTTCAAGGAGAGGTGGTCTTAATTTTTAGTTCAACAGTAACATGTCCAAAACCAAAAGAAACACACTATGAATAAAGGTACAGGCCAGCCACTGAGAGGAAAATCAAAGCAGGTATTCCCTGCTTATCTTCCATCAACTACTCCTTTGGTATCTTTGATTTATGTTTCAGCTACTTTTTGTGGAAATAACCCTATGCAGACCAAAAAGCAGCTTCTTACAGTAACAGCTCAACTAAAAAAATCAAAATTTTAACAAGTATTAACTACCAGTCAAAAGGAATATTGGAACTGTGCTTGTATGTCCTCTAAAGTGATGACATTCTTCATGCAAATTCGAAGTACGTACTAATTACATTCTCTTCAGAACTAACAAGTAGATCTATCCTGGTTTTGGTTGTTTGGTATTTTGAGGTGAATCTCTATGCTATTTTAATGACACCTTCCAGGGCGAAAAGCAATGCTGGCACGAGACAACACTGTTCATTTCACTGAACTTGAGAAGACTAACAAAGCAATTGCAAGAACCTGGAAGAGGCTTCTGAGCAGCACAGCTTGATAATTTAGATATCCACTTTCAAACCCAAGGTCAAACATTCTTTCCTTCCTCCCTCACTGCTTTTACCTTCAGGAGTTATGCACTGGATGTTAACAGTTTTCTTCTTCAAACAAGCAGTTTTTCATTCTGGTTTTATAAAGTTACACCAGATAACAGATGTCCACATCTTTAACCAGCACCCTATACAACATCCTATAAAAAAACCAAAATGCTCCATTTACTTTTGTTCTGTTGTTTCTACAACTGATGCGCTACAGGAACTTAAATTGCCTACAAGCTAATGAGAGTTTAGAAGCAATAAAAGAGTTAAGACTGCACTGTTGCAAATCTGGATTCTGGCCTGCATTTGCAAACAAGGTCTATGTTGCCTAGTGTTTCATAGTGCTGGTCCCTGACTAAGTTCAATAGATGCCACCAAAGGGCAAATATTAATGCACTTTAAATATTTTTAGACCAATGTTACTTCTCACTTTCCAAAAAGGAGCAAAGTATGCCTTTTGCCAAAGAATATACTTTGTAATTACAGTAGCAAACACAAAAGGTCACATTAATTTTCTTTATTGTCTAATAGTCTTTCCTAATGATAATTCCCTGCAAAATAACCCCAGGATTGGGAATCCCCTGCTCTTGGAGGCTTTACAACTGGACAAAGACCACAACAACACAGAAGAGGCTGCACTTGCTCCAGCAATCATTTTCTCAAATGAAACTTAAGACTGACAGCAGCTCTGCGAGCAAGCAAGCAGACAGCTCTTCACCCAGCAATGACGTTTCAATGACTTTCAATAACCTTTATGCCCTAAGAGATGGTAACTCTCTACTGTAGGTGCCCAGGATGCAGTGTCCTACAACATCCTTCTCAGAAGTCTCACTGTGTTGCATTTATCCCATGCCATGACTTGAAGCACCTGTACAGTTTCGCTTTTTTCCCCCCTTTTCATTCATAGTCACCCTGGCAGGAAGAGGTATAAGCATGGTGGCAAATACTAGTCTAGTTTGCTATTGAATAAAAATTTAAAATGTAAAAATGTTCTCTCTATAGCCATGTATTTTTAAATATACCTTTGTCTCCTGTTTTTAGAGACAAAAAAATCACTAAGAACTAGAAGCAGTGGATTTTTCAGGTATGCTCATTAAATCCTGCCAGTTCTCAAAAGCAGTTTCTGACTCAGCTCCTTCTTTTACTTTTGTTTAGTATTTTTGGGACTGACATTTCTCATGTTTGGTCTGCACTTAAGAAAGCAGTTATTTGCTTCTTATCCTCTCTCCAAATTTGAGGAAGTACCTTGAAGTCAGTGGGGTAAACAATGTGACAACAAAACAGTTCTCCCATGCTGATCACACTAGGTAAAAACCCTAAAGCCCTGATTCTGGTTTACAGACCCAACCTTCCAGAGGTTTTTCAGAATAAATCATATTACTACTACACATTATGAGTACAGAAGACTACACAAATAAAATCCTGTTACAAAAAGACATAGTTAGATGAGTGAAGCAGTAAGATACTAAAATATTACTAAGCTTAACAAATTTAAAGTTAAGTTGTGGTTACAAGGGCAATTGGCTTCATTAATAAACTGACAAATACTAGAAACAGGAGAAGTTGCATTGTTCTGTAGTTTGTTCTATCCTCCCTTTCCTCCCAACTCTGTAGCAGCTGAATTTCTCTATTTGGTAAATATAATTAACAGCTTTGTCATATGAGAGAGTACTTGTGGAAGAATAACAGTTAGTTTAAAAGAGATCTGCTTGTTTCAGAGGAAGATAATGTGACTTGCAGGTCACAAGCAGCATAAACATGCTGGAAAAAAGAAGTGCTCAAAGCTGGCTTTAAATAAACTGTGCCTGTTCTAAATTTAACAATTTTCCAACACTATTACAGTCTGGGTGTTAGTGCTGCAAGATATAAGGTTGATTCTGCACTTTGATAACTTTTTCTACTTCTACTTTTTGTGGAGAGTGTTCCTTCCTTCTTGTCACCGGACTAATGCTGTCACTTGGCCGTGCCTGAGGGCCCGCGTGTGTCACACGGCCGAGTCTGGCCCCAGAGCCCGGGCTGCGGAGCACGGAGCGCCCACAGAAGTCGCCACCGCTCACTCTTCGCTCTTGCTCACTCTGTCAGAGCTACAATCAATGAACTGCTGCTTCCACTCCCTCACGCAGAAAACACTTACAACAATTACTACATTTAAAAACTATCCTAACTTTCTGTATGTGGCAGGTTCCTAGAAAGAGGTTTTTTGGTTTAACTCGGTTCAGATGCTGCCTTTGACCTGTGAGGAAGAGGAAGAGGCCGTGCTTCAGGCCTCCGGCTAAATCCCGATCCATCCCGGAGCACGGCCTCTGGCCCACCGGCCTTGGTTCCCGGAGGAATTTCAGAGGCGGACGTTTCACTCTGTCCCTGCACTTCACCCCGACACCTCCTGCCGGGTCATCCTCCTGCTGCAACAGTTCAGGGTTCGGCGTCCCCCGTTCTGTGCCGCGGCCGGCAGACAGCCAGCGATGCCCGGAACGAGGGGGGAGA